TGACAGATTATGCAGATGATTAAAGATGAGTCTGCGAAAGGAATTCGGAACAAATGGACGAGGAATGTCTGTTGACATGTCACAAAGAATATTACCATCAGAATACTGGCACGGTTTAAATTCCAGTTTCAAAGATGATGTGTTGTTTTTGAGAATGTCTTGTACCTCCGGATCATGCCGTTGAGCTTCCGAAATTTTTTTAAAAAATCCAAAAATGGAGATTTTGTTATGGAATCAATTTCGATTCTTGAAAGAGCGTCAGCAACGACGTTTTTTGAACCTTGCACATGCCTAATATCAGTAGAGTACTGAGAAATAAAATCTAAATGGCGCAATTGTCGAGGTGAACATTTATGAGGGTTCTGTTTAAAAGCGTATATTAACGGTTTTTGATCCGTATAAATTATAAAATTTCTGCCCTCTAATATGTGTCGGAATTTCTTAATTGCAGAATAAATAGAAAATAATTCCCTATCGTACGCAGACCATTTCTGTTGACTTTTATTGAGTTTCATAGAGAAAAATGCTATAGGTTCCCATGTTTGTTGAGACAACTGCATAAGTGTGCCGCCTATTGCGACGTCTGAGGCATCTACCCAGATGCTTAGCTGGGCTCCGGGAATAGGGTGTCTCAAAAGGGTAGCCTGAGCAATGGCATTTTTGGCAGCAATAAAGGCTTGTTCAGCGTTCTCGTTCCAATTTAATTGTGGGGATGAATCCTGAACACGCGAACGAGATTTTTTTTATTCAATATAGCCTTCTAACAATTTTATTAAAGGAGAAGAATATGTGCTGCTTTAGGTATGAAACATCTGTGAAAAGTTAAACATGCCTAAAAATCGGCGAAGCTGAGTGAGAGTGGTAGGTTGAGGAAAATCTAAAATACATTTGACTTTGTCAGGAAGAGGTTCAATTCCGTTTTCACTAAGGTGAAAACCTAAGAAATCAATAGACGTTTGACCAAAGGTGCATTTTGAAACATTTATGCAAAGTCCATATTCCTGAAGTTTGGAAAATAAAGCTTTCAAATGCCTGCAATGTTCCTCAGAATCTTTAGAGGCTATGAGCAAGTCATCGACAAAAGCGTAAACACCTTCTAAATCCCGCGTGACTTCATCTATAAAACGAAACGTTGAAAAGTCGCGGATGCATTGCATAAGCCGAATTGCATACGGGTACTTTCGAATAAACCGAATGGTGTGCATATGGCGGTTTTTGTGGATGTCGGCTGGGTTAATTGGTATTTGATGGTATGCCTTAATCAGGTCGACATGACTAAAAATTTTAGTACCGTGCAATGCAGCAGTAAAATCGGCTAAGCATGGAATAGGATATTTGTCTTTTATTGTTTGAGCGTTCAATGCTCGATAATCTCCTACAGGTCTCCATTCCAGACTTCCCTTTTTTGGAACCATGTGAAGTGGGGATGCATAATTGCTGCTCGAAGGTCTCAAATGCCCCAATTGCATCATAGTTTGAAATTCTTGTTTTGCTATTTTTAAGCGATCTGGAGCTAACCGACGAGGTTTTGCAACCACAGGTGGACCTTTAGTTATGATGATAACTGAACGGTGTTTAACAGGTTGGTTAGGATCTAATTTGGTAACTGAAGGAAATTCTTTTAAAATTTTGTGATATGGTGTATCACTAAATAAGCAGTTTTTACTGAATAAAATGCTTGCATTTTTCACGCAACCGACGGTTTTAAAATGCGTTTTTTAAATCTTTGAGAATCTTTGAGACATTTGTTTCTGAAGATCAGGCACCAATTCAAAGAAATGGAGAAAATCTGCTCCAAGAATGGGTGTACTAACATTTGCTATAAGAAAAGTCCATGTAAACTGTCGTCTTAATTTGAAATCCAAAGAAAGTGTTTTTGATACCATAAACATGAATAGTAGAAGAATTAGCAGCGAAAAGTGTTTGTTGGGACGAATTTCGTTTTTGAGAATTATTTGCTGGAAGTAAGGACACGTCAGAGCCGGTATCGACCAAGAATGAAAGGTTTGTTCTACGGTCACGAACGAACAGGCGACGTGAAACTTGAGGCAAAGAATAAGTCGCCTCTATTCTTTGCTGGTTTCGTTTCTCTGCCATGAACAAGGTTTTGTACATTTGTCATCTCTACACTTTTTTTCCTAAAACGTATTGGCTATGATACCAGCAAACAGAATAATCTCTCCTTTTGGGAATTGCTTCTTTCCTTTATTGCGATCTCCGCGATTTGGCGAGCGACCACGAGAAAGAGAAATGCGATCAATACGTTTTGTTTAATTTTTCTATTTGTTTTAAATAATTTATCCTCAAGAGACTGATCGACTGTGCGAGAAAGGGCACAAGTCCCTGGGGTTGGATTTACTTCTAAAATTCTGTCGGCAATTTCTGCAGCTTTATCTACAGTTAAATTGGAAACCGCTGGCCAAAATAGACTGAACAGTCGAAGGCAAACGTTGAAGGAATAATTCTAACATTAAGTTATCAGGAACATTTAAAGATTCTGCTCGACGTTTTCATATTTCTAAGCAAATCGGAAGGTTTTCGAGAGCCTAATTCTTCTCCAGATAATAAATTGGCGAATTTCTTTGCTGAGAAGATTCTCCTGAACGATTTATTAACTCAGTTTTAAGCTTTGCATATGGATCAATAGGGTCTGGTTTCATAAGTAAATCCCGTACTAGTGATGCGATATCTGGAGGAAGATGAGAAACTACATAATTATATTTAGTAATGGATTCAGTGATAAGTTTGGGGGTGGCAAGAGCAAAGGTACTTTCACACATAATAAACCATAAAGATGGGTCTAATCGGTTATAAACCGGAATTTGGACGGCATGAACATCAGACATTGTGCAAGGTTTTTAAGCCAAAATAAAAGCAAAAATTTAACTAAAGAAAATGAAATTAAATGATAAGTAGAAAACAGAATTATAAAATGATCTATAATTACTACTCATCTGTGATTCAGGAGGATGAAAAACCGATGTAATCCATTACTTCTGGTTTGGAGATCTTGAGTGATGGCTTGTAGTCAAAACCGAAAGTGCTTGAGAACTGTTCATACGGCCTGATTTAACACAGTCCGGGTTACCATTATGGTGATTTCCTATATGTTTTACCTGTATGTTTTACCACCAATCCTCGAATTCCATATCACAGATTATGTTCCTACTGCATTGATATAAATATTAACAAGACATAGTGCACAATAAAAATTAAGCTTTATTTAGGAACTTCGCGCACACTGCCCGACAGCCTGCCTGTTTCGCTCTGCTCGCTACTCAAAAGAAACTTCTCCTCTAGGGTTGCCACACTTATCGGAGGGCGCAAGGCGCGCTCCTTATCGCCATCACCACATAACTTCAAAACATTGCATTACGGCAGTGAAACGTACGTGTTTTTAAGATGTCCCGTGCATGTATTTTCCTCTAAAAATACGTAAAATTTATAATGAAATACTTCGCTATTGTAATTTTTAGTCTCAAAGTTATAAAGATGATATCCGTAATTTACAACGCACAGAAAATCAATAAGAATTAGTTCGAAATCTAAATGCATGTGCATAACATTAAAGCTTTTAAAAATAGAATTTGTTTAGGTTTTATTAGCAACCTGTTGGGTGTGCTTTCCAGTTTTTCCTTTAAGAAGTGCTATTTCTGATTTATCACAATATTGTAATTTAATTAAAGAATCATTTAAAAATATATTTAACCTGAAATTAATAGCAGGTAATTATCTAAAAAATAAGTCACAGGTTGCATATTTTTAAAATGAAAGTTTTAGATTCTTTTCACAACTAACAACCTTATAACAACAAGAAAATAAATATTAATAAAATAAAACAGATTTATGTGAATTCAGTGACTTCAGTTTATGCGCATTTCATATTTATGAATCTCAAAGAAATTGCCTTGAATTAAGCTAAATTAGAGAAATATACCTCTATTTTTGGATATATCTTTTCACCTGTTCAGTTATGTAAATATTTTACTTACTTTTATCGCTATACTGCCCACAAATTTGTAAATTTGTGCAAAAACATTTTAACAACAGAAAACGTAGTTTATCTTGATCAAATGCACACATTATATTCTTAACAGTTCAAAAAACTTTAAAACGAATAATAATTAATACATAAAGAAAAGCATTACTTTATTTGACACCTTTAAAATTCATAAAAATAGTAACAATTGGTGTCTTACTTTTCATGAAAATTATCAAACGAATTACCTAAAACGTTCAAGTTATACAGTTTAAATCCTAGCATACATCATTTTATGTTAAGGAACAAAGATACCAGCTATAAACAGAAACATTAAAATGTATTTAACATATTTTGATTATTATTAAGTCCCTTTTTTTACATCTGGAAAGAAAACAACATGACATTGTGATATTTTTTACCATAGTTATCAAATTACATAGAAAAAAAAAAAAAAAGAAAATCAATACTTACGCGTGAAAAGTAATCCCAGGAATCTTTTTCGAAAATCTGTTTATGCATCCATATACAACACAAGCTGACATGCTTCAAAAAGAAAAGAAAAGAAATATTGCAATTACAGACTTCCTTGCACAAGTCACAGCGATAGCAGAAACATGGCCGCCAAGCTTCACAGTTTGAGTTGAACCTTCCCTCCTTCTATTCTAACCTCCTTGAGTAATACCGCCCCTTTACGAGTCTATGTGTTTTGCAGAATGTCAACTACTCGTAGGATGCGCTCATGGCACATTATACTGAATGCTGATATTTGTATTATTCTTGCATATGATAACTTATTTCACTAGTTATTCATTGGTCTTTAAGAATTTCATAAAATATTTTTATTACTATTTGAGTTATTATTTACCCTTTTATTTGTGTTTTAAAAATGGCAACGATAAGGAAGATGGTGTGAACAAGATATACTTTTAAACTAAAAATTCAGATTTTGGAAATATTAGGCTTTTGATTATTTCGTAAAAGAATGGCTTTGCGATTTTATAGATCTCTGGTAAATGATAATTTCTTGAACATCTTGCAATGACCTCATTTTACAAGATAACACAAGCTCCATTATTTCCTTTTTTACGTAATCCATTTCTTTCCCCCTATATTGCCGATGGACTGAACAGCGTTCATTTTTCTCGTTCTTTATCTATCAAAGTTTGTATTTTTTTTCTGCAGATATTTAATGTAGTTCCAGCCATGTGATTTTACTTTTAAAATGTTTGTCTACTTAGAATTTTCATTTTATATTTTATCTCAAACGATGGATCTTTATTTATTAATGAAATAGAATATTCCCAATCGGATTATAAATGGGAATATTTGGTTTTTTAATTAGATTTCATAAATGCGTTTTTTTTCAAGGTATTTTGAGCTGAAATTACTGTTTGATTCAGCTCAAAATACCTTGAGTTAGGTTATGTTCCGGCAGAAGATGGACTCCCTTACCTACACCATCAATCGCAAAAATAAGAAATGTAACAAAATGTAAGTAATCGCTAGGCGTTACTTACGTATTAACGCAACCAGGCCAAAATTTGCATAAATTGCCAAATTTGGCGACCCTACTTACAGCAACCCTATGTGTTTAGACAAAAGTTTATTTGTAAAAAGAAAAAATAACACTGGGCGTGTACTGCCACAGCAATGGGTTTTCGGCGGAATTTGCCGAGAAAAGAAAGAGACTTTTTTGGTTACTGTACCTAACAGAAGCGCCGTTATTCTCATGGAAAAAATTTGCGAAAATATCAAGGAAGGAAGCATCATTTATTCGGATTGCTGGAAAGGATACAATACAAGTGAGTTCAAAAATGCTGGATTTCTGCATGGAACTGTTAATCACAAATATAACTTTGTGGATCCCAACACGGGCGTTTGCACACAACATGTAGAGCTCATGTGGGGCTCAGCCAAATGGTGCAACAAAAAACAGAGAGGAACTGCCCATCATCATCTTGACTCATACCTTATCGAATTTATATGGCGCCAAGCTCAAGCTGGTAATGGCGAAGACGGTTTTCAATCAGTGCTAAAAGCAATAGCCAAAAGATTTCCGCCGAAGAAATAATTCTGCAACTTATTCAAATTCGAAACCGGAAGGGTTTAATTGCTATTTTATATTTTAAAACAAAATTATATAAAAAACTGTAATAAAAATTTATCTGTAATTAATAAATGTACATTTTCTGTCTATTCATACTTTTTTACTCAAACTTACAAATTGCGCCAACCTGGTTGCGATAATATGTAAGTACCCGCTAGGCTCTCGGGCAATGTCGATATCGTCTGAGGCCCCTCATATGTTTAGACGGACTGGTCATTTTTGGTTTTCATTGTTTTATGTATGAATTGAGAGCAGATTCGGTATTAACCTAGATAATATTTCAATTTATATTAAATTTATTTGTAGTGTTTGCGCATTTAAAACTTCAGTCCTCCGTAAAAATTGCTTGAGAAGTTGAAATAAAGTCATGGCCATTTCTGTGATTCACAGTGGGTCAGTGAACGTGCTGATCATACTACAGTGTAAATTCCGAGATTCGGAATCATGGAACTTCGGCGATTCTGGGAATTTTTCAATTATAGATCATAGAAAGATGACATGTGAAAACTGAAAATATAAAATGGTTGTGAAATAATGAAAATTTATGACTTTAAGAGAACCAAAGTTTATATGAAAAAGCTCAATGTTAGCATTTATATTTGTTTTAAAGCTGTTTAAGGAATTTCATCTAATATGCCTACATGGCTCTAAATTTTTAGAGACATAATTTCTTATTTAGGTTCAAAATCCCACTGTCCTCCTCAATTTAATCAGGTGACATAATTTCTTGTTTAGGTACAAAGTTATTGACTTGTCTTAAAAGTCCTACAATTTCTGTGTAGAGAATTTCCATTAATTTGTCAACTGAAATTTTTATTCTCAACAAGCTCTTTATCATGTTCTTCACAAATAATGCTGATATACCATAGGTTTTTCAGTATTCGTTAATTGATTGCTAATAAGGACATTGACGCTGCAATGAAGACTTTAATTATATCATCTTTATTTAGATTATTTCTTTTCATTTCTTCACATATTCCCATTAGTAAAAAAAATTCTCATTTCTTTTCTGTCAAAGCTGCTTGTAGTTTTTGTTTGTTTGTTTGTGTATTTCCTCAGTGCCAGGTATCACCAGTTTAGTTTGACTTCTTTCCTGACATGAACACTTTTTCCTCTTTTATCTATCCTACTTCTTCAAGAAAGAATTATGCTGCACAAACAGTACTATTTGAATAATAACCTCATAAAACTTAAATGTGCTGGAAACTTCAATAGCAGTATTTTCTGCAGATATCCTTTGGCTGATTGATAGATATATGTTTTTCGAGAAATGAGTAGAACAGAGATGTTATCTCTTATTAAAAGTTTAATTTTGGGGAAATAACAATAATAATATCATGCAGAACAAAATAATAGGCTGGATGAAATCAGAAAGTTAAGAAGAAAGAGTGCAATTCACAGCGGTAGCTGAACTTTCGTTGAGATCTAATTCTTTCTCTTTGCTATGTCAATAAATGAAAAATAATATGCATAATGTATACCATTTCAAACAACTACTGGTCTTCTAGTTCCACTAACCATGTATAGGACTAATGAAATAGCAAAATGGGAATGATATAACTACTTGAGGACTGGGTAAGTTAAAATGTAGTTCATTAGCTGGCAGGCAAAGCAAGATCAAGATCATTCAATACTGTCATACATAATGATGCTTTTCACAAAAGAAATATCTCAACTAATTGTGCAAAAATCAACTTATGCTTCTTTTTTATTACAATATGCAAGGGAAATGAATGATTTTATGGAAGATCTGGATAATAGATCATTCTGGCTGTTGGATGTCAAGATTTTGGACTTGTACTGTATAGAAATGACTCAGTGAAATTTGATTTTTTTTTTTTTCTTTCAGCATGGGTGCATTTAAAGTCTTTTACTTTGAATATCTGATACTTTTCTATTATGCACCTGCCATGCTTTTTGACTCCAGCGAAAGAAAAGCCAAAAACATTGCGAGAGCTATCAGTAGCATTCTCTGTGGACTATGTGTGTGTGTGTTAACAAGAATAATTAAATAAATGCACATATTATTACAGTAGTCCCACCAAAGTGCATGGCAAGTGCATAGTGGAAACTTATCGAATATCTTTTCAAGAGGTTGGGAAAAAGGATATACAGTCGTTATATTAAAAGAAATTCTATTAAGATGATATTCATTAAAATTGGGACAGAGCTGGGTAGGCAGTCTTCATTTATTTTGTCATAAAGAAGGAATCAGCTCTAGTTCTCTAAAATTAAATATGTGTGTTGTATAATGTTTTTTGGTGAAAGATTTCTAGCTCTCTAAAGAAAGTAAATTAAAAAAAACTATTGACATTGTGATGATGATACAGTCAAAAGTCGTTAATCCGGACTCGTCGGGACTTTGGCGATTCCGGATTATAGATCATTAGTTTAAGTCTGGTAAGATGGCATGCAGAAATTATAAAATTAAAAATATGAAACCATAATTTATGAAATAAAGAACAATTATGATGTAAAGGGTATCAAAATTTACAAAAAAAAAAAAAAAGAAGAGCTTAACATTTATTTGTTTACTTTATTAAATATTTCTTTTAATGTAAGTTGTTTGCTTCGTTTTATGTGATAATACTTTCTCTTTAATTCTATTAAACAGACATAATTTCTTGTTCAGTTACAAACTTCCACTGTTCAAATCCTGTAATTGCTGCGTCCAGAATACCGACTAACTTGTCAATCGAAATTTTTTCGTTTTCAATAACCTCTCTGTCACTTTCTTCACTATCGGAAGCAAATTATAATGACGAGGAATTTGATTTAAATCATATCAAAGACGGAATACATCGAGATGAAATACTACATTTAGTAAGGAATTATAAGCCAAATAAAATGAAAACATCTGCCCTGAAGATAAGGATAGTGCTGACAGATCAACTTCCAATTTATTTCGTGCCGCGGCATTGAAAACATCTGCTCTCAAGATACGGATAGTGCTGACAGATCAACTTCCAATTCATTGCTCACCGTCGTCCCCCATCCCCCGCCGCAGAACAGTGTGAAATTGATAAACAGATTTCGGAATGGTTAGGTCATTTTTTGAGCAATTCTACTTTTGTTTAATGGACTCGAAACATACCTTCGCTTTGGTAGATCCTTTACATATTAGTAAATATATATTGGAAATTCTATTTGACATAATCGAAAGTTCAAGCTTACTTTTATAAAATTGCTCTAACAGTCTGCAAAAAATAATAAGCCCGGATCCAATTCAAAGATTAAGGAACAATGCAATCTGCAACATTAACTGAATTAGATAATTTTAGCTTAGCTTATACCGTCCGTTATACATTAAACGTGCATGCGTAAACATATTTTGCGCACGCATATTCGCAGCCGTAAAGGTCTTACGCGCATGCGCAGAAAGTTTGTAGCTTTGAGGTCAGGATTATAGATCATTCCGGATCATGGGTGTCCGAATTAACGACTTTTAACTGTATATATCTCCGACTTCAGTTGTAATGCGTCTGAGTGAAGCAAAAGTTCAGTCAATAACTGTGTAATATAAGTATGGCCATTGTGCACTTCTAGAGTTGCATATGTATGAGAGAAATAGACATTTTTTAGTCTGTATGGAATAAATGCTATTAATATATTTTAATAAAAGTCACGTATTTAAGAGGTTGGTTTGTATATATCATTGTGATATACACCATTTTACCCAGCCGTTAGTTTTGCAACTGTTGGCTGTAGACATATACTTCTAATTACAAAAATATTTTAAATGATGCAACGATTCATGTTTTTGGTATTTTTGCATTTAAAGGAACCAATTTTGCAAAAATTATAAGACCTAAATATTCCTTCGCTCCTTATGCTTATATTTAGGATAATTTTGAGCTTATTGTAAAGAATAAAATGCAAAAAGTTTTAACTCCTTTACAACAAAAACTGACTCAAATATTTAATTTTAAAATTTGCTATTTTTGACATCTAATTAGATTTGCATTGAAGTTTGAGTTAATAAATAAATTAGAATAAGGTTGATTTCTTCTTCTTAAATTCTATTCAATGATATTGTTTTGTCATTTATTAGTAT